CATCGAGGCGGGCGCGGCGAAGGACCAAGCCCGCACCCCAGAAGCACGCCACTGCTCGTGGCATGCCACTTCGGCCACCCCGAGGTCGTCAAGCTCCTCTCCTCCTACGGCGCCTCCCGCGCCGCAGTGCCGCGTTTTGGCACGCCCGAGGAGGTCGCAAACAGCCGCGGCCACGCCGACCTCGCCGCCTGGCTGGTCGCCAGCCGCGGCTGGACGCCGCTCGCGCACCTTGAGACCGCCGCCCGCGCTCTCTCCCTGCTGCGCAGCGGCGCAAGCCTGCACGAGGGCGGGCCGACGCCGCTGCAGCGCGCCGCGGGCGGCGAGGGCGAGGCGGCGGCGCTGATCCGGCGGGCGGCGGCGCCGTGGTCGCCGGCAAGCCACTCGCTCTTCCCCGCGGCGGCCCGCGCGCGGGCGGCGCTCCTCGTCGTCTCGCTCTACGAGATCCACGAGCGGCACCATCTCGACTCGGCAGGAAACACGAACGGCATCGCGGCGCGCGACTTTGTCACGTGCGTGCTGCGCTTCGCGATCACGCGCGAGACGGAGTAGAGGAGCGCTGCAGTGGCCTTGCTCTCACCTTGGCACCGCCGCGGCGGTGGCGTTACTGCTGCCTAGTCTGCTGGTAGGAACGGGCGGGCCACAGCTCTGGCTCTTGCAGCGCGGGTGGCTCGCGATCGGCGGGGGGCGGCGCCTCGGCTGCCGCGGTGGTGGGTGGACGACGGTGTTGCGATCAGCGGTGGCGGCGGGGCGCGCGGTCCTGCGTGCGCGTGGCGTGCGGTTGCGTGGGCAGGCGCCGCGGCGGCGGCGGCGCCACCGGGGATGGGCGGCAGCGGGTGGGGTGCGGGCGCAAGCAGACTAGAGTTCGACCGCTGAGCGCAGGCCCGTGACCGCTGTGCGCAGGCCCGAGGTTGAGAACGTCGACGGGGCATGCGGGTGGGCACGTCTATTTTGTGTGCAAACAGTACTTTTTGGTGTAGTGTCGGCACCTGGACATGCCCGTTCGACCACTCGACAGGATGCGCATCTCTCTCTGGAGCGGTGTCCGGAAGGCTGCTTCGGTGAGGCGGCAAGTAGAGCGCGCGCGCGAGAGAAAAGCCTGTGTGCTTGCGGTGCGCTCTCGAACCATGTGCAGGGAAATCTAAATACGACCTCACATTATGGATATACGCCCCTTGTGTGTTTTGACTCAAGTTCATGGATTGGTTCATGTGCCATGTGGCGGGGGGCTTGGGCGCCGCGCGCTCCTAGCCTCGTCGGACGTCGCCGCTGTGACGCGGAAACGACCCCGGCGGCCAGACCCCAAGAGACATCGAGGGACACGTACCTCACCACCGGCACCGGCACCGGCCGGCACCGGCGGGCTCCCTGCAGCGGGCTCCCCCGACGTCGACGTCGCGACCCCGTGCGCCGAAGATACGTTTGATACAGTGGTGTCGCGTCACCCGAGCGCCTGAACCTTGCCCGTTACGCCGTGAGGGTCCATCACGTACCTGCGCAAAGAGCCGACACACTGAGAGGCAGAAATGCGGGAAGGGAGGCGAGGCGTGCACGGTGAGCTGGCGCAGCGCACTTGACCGACTCGCCCTGGTCAAAGTTTTGGTAGCCCAGCGGGGCGTCGTCGAGGGAGATGATCTTAGCATTGACCGCCTCTGCGATACGGACCTTGTCGTGCATTATCGCGTTCATCAGAGGCCGATGGTACCTGGGATGAGGAGGGCTTGATAGAGTTCTTTTGGTGGGCGGAGAGGGCGGGGGTGAGCTGGGAGGCGGAGTTTCAGATGGGGGGCTAGAAGGCGGCTGCGAGGGCGGCGGAGGATAGGGTGGAGGTGGTGAGGGAGGCGGTGGGCTCGGCGGGGGTGGCAAGGGTGGAGGCATACTTCATGACTGGGCACTGCCCCGTGTGCATCGACGCGCTCTTGGACCACGCCAGCCCAAAGGTCATGTTTAGCGAGCCGAGCTGCGCAGCCTCCGTTGAGGCGCCCGGGTCCTCCGTCACGTACAGGCCCGGGATTCCGATCTGGCCGCCCTCGCGAATGATGCCCATACAGTCGTTGAGCACCTGAGCCGGCTTCTCGCCGCCCGATGCGCCCGAGCCTCGCGCCTCGAAGCCCACGCAATCGATGGCGCAGTCCACGTCTGGCGAGCCGGTGATGGCGTGGATCTTGTGCGCAAGATCACCGTCGCTCGTGATGTCGATCGTCTCGCAGCCGAAGGAGCGAGCCTGCGCCAGCCTCGTTGGGATTGCGTCCCCGACAATCACGCACGCCGCGCCCAGCAGGTGGCACGAGGCGGCACAAGCGAGGCCAACGGGGCCGGCGCCGGCGACATAGACGATGGAGCCGGGCTCGACGCCCGCCTGCTTGGCACCGTGGAAGCCGGTTGGGAAAATGTCCGACAGCAGCGTCAGGTCGGCAATCTTCTCCATCGCGCGGTCCTTGTCGGGGAACTTCAGCAGGTTGAAGTCGGCATAGGGCACCTGTATGCGCAGGAATTTAATGGGGGTAAACAGAGGTCGTCTCACCGCATTCACCGCCGCCGCCCTCGCCGCCGCCCTCGCCGCCGCCAAGCCCACGCCCCCGCCGCTTGTGTGACGGAGTGTCCGCCGCTTCGAGCGAGGGAGCGGATCGGGGCACGCACCATCACATACTCTGCCTGCCCTCCCACCCAGCCTCCCATGTCGACGTAGCCGAACGCGGCTCCGGCGCGGGCGGGGTTCACGAACAGGCAGACACCCGTGTCGCCCCGCTTGCACGCGGGGCACCGGCCGCAGGCAATGTTGAACGGAACCGAGCAAAGGTCGCCCTCCTTCATGAACTCGACGTCGCGGCCGACCTCGACAATCTCGCCAGTGATCTCGTGGCCGAGCACCATGTAGCCGCCCGGGAGCGAGGTGCGCCCTCGCACCATGTGCTGATCCGAGCCGCAGATGTTGGTCGTCACGACCTTGCGGTGACGAGAGGGAGACGGGGTCATGCGGTGCCACTGCACGCCCCACTCTTGCCGGCCGTGAGAACAGACCTTGAGGATAGCGCCGTGCTCGCACTTCCTCTTCTGCCGCTCCGAGGCGACAGGGGAGGATGTGCTGTCCAGCTCGAGCTTTGGGAAGTCGATCGGCTTGACCTCCACCACCCCGGGCGCCATGTACACAACGCCGCGGTTGGAGGCGCTTGGCTGAGCCGCCGTCGAGAGCTCTCGCTCCGAGACGGGCTTGCCCTTGAGCGATCGACCTCCGGCGCAGAGCGCGCAGCCACATCCTGAGCAATGGTGGCCACAGCCAGCAGAAGGGTGAATGGCAGCAGTGAATGGCTGTGACTTCATGGCGTGTGTGCGCGCACGCCTGGGAGGTGGATGAGGCCGTTTGGCGACTTGACAGTAGAGACTGAGCGGCTTGAGACGCAGACCTGCGCACGCGGCGCGACCTTGGTGCACGCGCAGACCGACCGAGCCGACGAGGACCGCGAGAAGTGCAGCATTTCTGTCTGTTGGTTGCGGGGCGGGCAGGGGAGCCAAAGTTGTGGTGGGTTCAGGGATAGATTGCGATTTCGTCGTCTCGCCTGGGTTCCGGCTCCTAGCCAGATAGGGGGTCTGTCGACCATGACTCGCGCCAAAACGCCCTACCTACCTACCTACCCCCAGGCCGCGCAGCGAAGCGAAAAAAGACGAAAATAGGGGGTACCTACCTGCTGAGAGCGGCGCAGCGCGGCATGTGGTGCGAAGCGCCCGCCGTGTGTTTATTTTTTCGATAGCCTTCGATGTTATGAAACAAACGCAAGGCGGACACACCCATGACGCATCGCTCTCGGGCCCACAGGCATCCCGCACACCGCCGCCCCCGCGCGCGCCCCACTCCGGCCGGGAGAAAGGGGAGTGACAGTTTGGGATGGCAACAGACGAGATACCTCGCACTCCAGAGAGTTTGTTTTGTCGCACTCCATATCCATGTCCATGTGAGAGAGGTTTTTGAAGACCAACAAGAAATCACGACTCTCAAGTGATTTGGGCTCCCTCGGCAGCTTGTTAGCCCTCAGCCGAAGCTGGGGCCGGTCCCGTAGCCGAGAGAGCCCGCGCCGATGAGTTCGACGCGGTCGGGGGGCCCTGCGGAGAGGCCAGCGAGATGTGCGAGAACGCAGAGAGAAATGAAAGCCGTCCGGCTCACAAGTCCGGCTCACGCGCCCCGAGCTGACCCTCTACCGCACTGATCACTTCCGCCCCCTCGCTCCCAACCCATCCACCTCGGCCGCGCGATCTCGGGCGATCTCGGGCCGCGCCGCGCGATCTGAGGGAGGACCGTGTATGACCACCGCGCCAGCCTCCAGGAGCAGCCGGACGATGTCGAGGTGGTCCTTCTGGACATGCGATGAGAAGCGGCGTGGCGCCATTCTCCTCGGCTTGGTCTATCGCCGCGTCAGCCTCGAGGAGCAGCTGGGCGAAGTCGACGTGGTTCTGCTGGCACGCGATGTAGAGCGTGGTGCCGTCGTTGCAGGCTTGGTCCTTCGCCGCGCCAGCCTCGAGTAGCAGCCGGGCGACCTCGGCGTGGCCCTTGTAGCACGCGATGAGCAGCGGCGTGGCGCCTTGGGCCTGGGCTTGGCCGATCGCCGCGCTGGCCTCGAGGAGCAGCCGGGCGATCTCGACGTGGCCGTTCTGGCATCGCGGCGTGGCCGTTCTGGCCGTGAGCGACGCACCGCACGTCTGCCGCCCGGAGAGGAGCGCGCGCAGCGCGGCCAGGTCGCCCACCGCCAGGTCGCCCACCGCCAGGTCGCCCACCGCCCGGGCTGACACAAGGGCTGGGCTCATGCCGCCAGAAAGAAGAATTCTTCATTTGCTTTCTTTTTTCTTGAAACATGCCTGTGTTCGTGCGTCGCCCATCTCTCCTGGAGATGCTCCTCTCTTTTTTATTCGGCACGACTCAGAAAGAAGAACCCCCGGCGCGATGCCTGCAGGCTGCCATAAGATACAATAAAAATCTCTCTCTCTAAGATGCCAACATCATAAATACCTCCCGTGGTCGTCGCGTCGGTCTGCGGTCTGGAGCTCGCGTCTCCGTCTCGAGTTTGCGCCTCCTCGTTGAACCTCTGAGTTGGGCCTCTGACGAGTGCGTGACCGCAACCCGAGGGGTGGGAGGGTGGGACGGTGGGATCCGCGGACGGGGACCGGGACGGTTGAGGCTGTCAAGGGCCAGTACACGGATGCAGAGGGGAAGTGCCATGTGGAGGCGTTGCTCTTCGAGGAGTTCGGCGCAATGAGCGCGGGGGTGGAGGAGCTGCTGATGCGGGTGGCTGAGGTGGCGGGCCGGAAGCTCACGTGGTGGCAGTACGACCAGACGTCGTGGTCGGCGCGCGAATGGATGCCGTTTGCGCTGCAGCGACTGTCGGTGCAGCTCTGGGTGGCGCTCGCGGACGAGGCACAGCGCGCCATTGGTGCGGCGTCGCGCGACCGCGAGGGACCGCGGGGGAATGCTAGTGGGATGGGGGGCTCTGAGGGGAAGGGAGCGGGGGGCGCCCAGTAGGGCGCCGGCACCCCAGCGTAGAGGGCGTCGTGTAGCCCTCCTTTTGGTATACCATCAAAACGATCTTACTTTCGGATTATCGAAAGTGTTGATCTATAACAAAACGAGTGCATCCCTCCAATGCTCTTCCTGACGGCAGTCTCTGCGATCTGCTATCGTCAGCACCCGAGTCTCCCGGCCACCCGCACGCCGCGCCGCGCCGCCGCCTCCCTCTCAGCTCTCCCACCGCCGGACTACATGAGCGACGCGGCGCTCAAGGCTGAGCTTCGAGCGCGTGGCCAATCCGCGAAGGCGCTTGGCGACGCGCAAGCCGCCTGGCGCGCCGTCCTCATTCGCCATCTCCTCGCCGCACGCACTGACGATGCCGCAGCGGCGCAGCCAGCGGCTGGGAAGGAGAGGCGCCCTCCGACGATCGAGGGCGCAGCGGCGCGTGGGGCGGCCAGAGGCGGCGCCTCCTTCTCATTTCTGCGGCCGACTCCCGCCGCGGCGCCTCCTGTGGGTGGAGAGTCGCCTCTCGCTGCGCCCGAGTCGCTGTCCGAGCGAGCAATCAAGGCGGAGCTCGACGAGCGCGGTGTCGCCTGGCGTGGGCGTCTTCAGAACTGTCTAGGAACCTTCTGGGAACCGTCTGGACCCTTCTAGGTGTCGCCTGGCGTGGCGTCTTCCCCATGTTTCGTGAGGACCTCATCAAGACGCTGACGAGGGCGCGCGCCAGACAAGCGGAGGCTGCGGCTGCAGCGACAGCACACGCGTCGGCGGCCGCGGCCGCGGCGGCGGCGGGCGGGGCGGAGGTGGCTGCGGTCAGGGCGGGAGGAGGGAGTGGGGCGCTGCCGGAGGAGGAGGGGGCGCTGTCGCGTCGGGCACTCGAGGTGTGCTGAATACCGCACACCGGGCGGGGGCACGCACGCGGCCTTCCCTACCCGAGATTACCCGAGATTACCCGAGATTACCCGAGATTACCCGAGATTACCCGAGATTAACACGGGCGGGGGCACGCACTTGCTGCTCCCTCGGGGCGAGGGACTGCAGCCACACTCCACACACGCACGCACGCACGCACGCACACACGCACGCACGCACGCACGCACGCACGCACGCACGCTCCCGTGGCGACGGCCGACACCCGCGCAGTGCGCAGCCCACTGGCTCACCAACAAGTCGTGAGCTGGTACTACCGGCTGCTCGCGCGGGGGCTAGCACGCACGCACACGTGGCGAGACGGCTCGGGGACCTGCCTGGTACAGCCCCAGCCTACCCCGCGTCAACTCTCGAGGGGCCTCGAGAGCCAGCCGCTCAGTGTACGGACTCTGTGTCACACCGGGCGGCGAGGAGGGGCTGCGGCAGTAGCAGACAGCCTCTGTGTCACACCGGGCAGCGAGGAGAAGCTGCGGCAGTAGCAGACAGCCTCTGTGTCACACCGGGCAGCGAGGAGGGGCGGCGGCAGTAGCAGACGGCCGAGGGGCTAGCACCGGAACACCCGCCTTCTACGACCCCTTCTAGGAAGGCCTTCTACGAGCCTTCTAGGAACCTTCTACGACCCCTTCTACGAGCCTTTCTAGGAACCTTCTAGGAACCTTCTAGGTGTACGCCGCCGACCAGAGCGCCCGGCGGGAGCTCCGTACCTTCAGGTCGCTTCTAGGAACCTTCTAGGAGCCTTCTAGGAACCTTCTAGGAGCCTTCTAGGAACCTTCTAGGAAAAAGGGAACCTTCAAGGGAACCTTCTAGAGCTCCGCACCTTCAGGTAAACCTCCCATGTCATGGCAGCTTCCCTCATCGAGATGTCTTTACTTGTGTGTCTCGCGCCTTGCCGGGGGGGGGAGCGGAAAGGAGGAACCTCTTCCCAAGAGCGCCACTTCCCTCATGCTTCCCTTCCCTTGCCTAGCGGTGAGCTCGCGGCTTAGCACATTCGAGGTTCGCCATCGTTCCCATGACCCAACCCGCGATCGCTTCAGCGGCTCGAATGCCTTCGCGAACCGGGCGCGCGAGCAGCTGGCGGACGCGCAGAGGGAGGCGCGCCGACAGACAGACAGACACACACACACACGCACACACACACACACACACACACACACACGCACGCACACACACACACACACACACACACACACACACACACACACACACACACACACACACACACACACACACACACACACACACACACACACGCACGCACACCCACACCCACTCCCACTCACACACTCACACACTCACACACTCACACTCACACTCACACACACACACACACACACACACACACACACACTCACACACGCACACACACACACACGCACACACGCGCAGTCCCCGCGCACCCGCGCACCCGCACACCCGCGCACCCGCGCACCCGCGCACCCGCGCACCCGCGCACCCGCGCACGCTCGCACGTACGCATGCGCACACACACACACACACACACACACACACACACACTCACACACACATACACACACACGCACACTCTCTCTCTCTCTCCCTCTCTCTCTCTCTCTCTCATGCATGGCTACATAGGGTAAGTACGAACACTTCCTGGATTCATCTTTTCAGACTTGCCGTCCCTATCGCGCGTAGGTTCACGTTAACTCTGATTTTTGT